GGTTCAATAACTTGACCTACTCGCACACAATCACAGTTGTTGCCAAAGGCTTATCAGAGCCACTGGGGCCAATGTTCCAATGCATTGCTGAAGATACTGAAGCATGACAATTCTAGCTTTGGCAGCTGCTTTGCTGCCTGAAAGAGAAAATTGAGCAATGATGCCCTAGGAACTCACATTAGCATTCTGACACCACTAAACTGAAAGGAAAGTTGAGGTTGTTTCCCTGACTGTGGAGTTCACTCCCTTTCCAGATCATCTTTGTCAGAAATAATTCATCCTAAGGCTTAATAAGATGTGTCTGAAAAGCAGTATTTCTTGACTTTGGAGTGGACTACAACCTACCAAAGATGTCATTTCAAGAAGTATTTGGAGAAGATTCCCCACAACGTGTCTCACAATGACATTATCCCTGCTTCATATTAGCTGGATATTAGCAGAATATATTGATATAGTTTATCTAAAATGATACACATGCAGTATCCACAAATGAATTGAAACTATTTCAGTGAAGTTCAGCTTTATAAATTTGTCAAGTAATACTGCCTCCTTCCTTAAAGTTATGAGTGAATAATGTTATTCATGTATGAAAAAATAAATAGAATCTACTGATATTTGCTCTGCACAGACAAAGGAGGGGAAGAATTTGTATAGAAACTCCTTTTTTAAATATTGGCACTGGAGATGAGGCAGAAAGGTTACAAGTAAAGTCTAAAAATACCTGTTATTTCTCTGCACATTTTCTTTTGAATGAAATTATAAGTAGTTAACATCTTATATGGTGCAGAGATCAATTTCCCCTGCCCCAAGCAATGAAAAAAGGTGAAGTATCCCAAATTCCACTATAATCCTTATTATTATTTCAGTATCTTTCCTTATGTCACTGCCTACCTTTCAGTACTATACCTTTGTCCTGCTACACTGAAACAGTTACATGGTGTTAAAATCATTGTCTCCTTCATAACTTATACTTCTTTTCCTCTATAACTCAAGCTTTTCAGCTCTGCATCACGTCTGACTTCAGTCTCTTTGATATTGGCTTCTCTCTTTTTATCTCTGTAGTGTTCTACAGCTTATTCTAGTTTATAACTCATAGTATATTATGTTACCATTTATTAAGCTTGCTATGCCACAGCATGTATTTGTTCCCCCCATTCTACTATATTGTTCTTGTAGGTCCCGGAAGACTTCCTCTATTACTCCCATTTTGTATTTTTCATACTTCATTCTCTATTTTTATCCCTGTCATTTCATGCAATTGCTTTAGCTCTGAATTCAAGAATAGAACGATGAATTACTAAATTAATTCATAAGATCTCTGAACCAATATTCAAGTACCAGAATCCTGCTATCAATGGAAAAAGCACTCATAAAGTAAAAATTTAACTAGCCACTAAACGTTATAAGCCATAGCAAAAAAATAAACAAGCATAGCTTGTCATGGCAAAAAAAGGAGCCTACGAAAATAATCACAAGGCTCTATAACTGTCATAAACTAAAGGAAGATATAGTTCCTTAGGTTAGACCAGTATTTGTTCTTTCCTAAGCAGAAAATAAATTCTCTGGATACTAATTACTGTAAAGTATCACTATAAAATATGCATAACAAGGTGGTGGTGGTGAGAAACTGAGAGAAAGAAAACCAAAAGAGATAAAAATTAAATGAAGATAGGCTGAATGTTACTGTATGCCCTTCTATAGTTAAGATTGCCTAACACTTTATGAGGGAGAATTTTTCAACTGCTTGTAAAATTTTCAAACGTTTATGATTCAAATGGGAAATACCTGTGCTCACTGCCTGTGCTCAGTGTTTGTTGAGGGTGGGAGGGATGTGTTTGGAAAGTTTTAGCAAAGACAGTTAATCTGTTTTAGAAGTTGAGATCAGACAAAATATGGGGTTTTTTTTAAACAATAAGACATACTGAAGCTGAGCAGCACTTCTCCTCCAAGTGTTTTTACTATTAACAAAAACCTTACTAACTTCTTATTCACTTACTTCACTGCCAAATATCTCTTGCCTTGAGGATGAGATTCATTAAAGGACTCAGATGACTAAAATGCTAATTTAAGCACTACTGAGATCACTGAAACATCTGCTCAGCTGCTGCCTAACTTCATAGGTGCCTAAACTCCCTAGATAACCTAAATCTAAGACAGTAAGATTTCCTAAACGTCTAAAATTGATACTGGATATGCCTAGAGCTGCCTAAGTCCTGGCAGCATTGAGCAATTAGGTAATAGTAACCAGCTCATGACTAAAACCCACTTAGATTTACAAATTACATATTCTCAGAGCATGTAACTAGAATTCCTGAGTTCACAGGCATGCTACCACTTTCCTATTGCAGGTATTCCACTCTGCATGGAAGAATTAAATGTTCAGTCTGGTATGGATTGGAAGCCAAGTCTCCTCCACCAGTTCTAGGTTAGAACTGGTGCACTATGCTACAGTCATAATAAATATCTGATAATAAATATTGAATTATTCTATGGAAAGTGGAAGTTTTAATTAAATAAATAAATCAGCAGAGAAGATGAAGAATGTCTCTCTCCAGAATGCTCTACAAGTCTGGTGATAAGGTCTTGGGGTAAGTCCCTCCAAGGAGAAGAGAAAATTATGCCTTCATCTCCTATATCTTAGGTGAGTGTTCCTGGGCTATTGGTTAAAATAACAAGGTAAAATAACAAGCTATCAGCACTGGCCCCTTTTTCTCTGACTGCAGCCATATTTGTGAGGAAGGGATGGCTTAACTACGTAACCCCAGGAAAGGGTTCATGGCTATGAATGCGAAACAGAGATAATTGCCCCACATCCTATATGATCCCATAGATAGGGATGGAAAGGACCTAATAAGGTCATCTTGTTCAGCCCCCTTCTTAAGGCAGAAAAAAATAGATGCTGCAGATTTCCCAGTTGGCCATATAACTCCATCAAATTAAGCTCCGACCTTCTCTTGGCACTTCTCATTAGCCAGTTTAAGCAACTTCATACTCAGTGTGCTGTCTTTTATGGATCTTATTCTTAATTGTTTAATGCCATGCACCATTCCCCATTAAATAGGAAGTCTATGTACCTAATTAAGGGCTGTGAATTCCACTAGGCATCAGGATGTGACAGATACCACACAGAGGCTGCAAAAAAATGTTGAAATGATCTGGTAGAGAAACTTACCCAGAGATGCCAGAACAGACATTCAAATGTTGAGTGCCTGAAGAGCAGAGTTTGCAGTGCTGATGCTATGCAGACATGCAGGCACTGTGCCCACATATCAGCATGCTGTCCTGGGAACAATTTAACCCTAGTTATTCCCAAGTTGATTTTCCCCAGGAGCAGCCATTTTTGTTTTAAGAGAAAAATCCTGAATTCCTGTAGACTTGTGGTTTCTACAGGGAGAGCAGCAACTCTGCTGAATATCTATATGTGGCCTGCATCCTGTCTCATCTATGCCTTTCTGTGGATAGAGCCCTGAAGGAAAGAAGAACCTTAGAGAAATATATTATGTGACCATACAATTAAGGTTGTATCATAGTGC